GACAGGCGCCGCCGCCATGTTGGGCAGTCCCGAGCCTGCCTGTGTATCAAACGCTACAGTTCACCCCCCGACCTGACACAGAGATTGTGTTTTTCTCCCCTTTTCTGAATAAAAATTAAAGTCTGAGGCTGTCCAGCCCCTCCCTCTCATTTTTGCTTTGGTTACAGTTCTCCCAAGATTTCCTGCTTTTCGCATTCTGTTTCTTAGCGTCTTAAATTATTTCTGAACCAACATGAGATTTTGTTCAAGTTTCAGTGACAGCTTTTAACCATGTTTGAGGCAAGAAGCCAAAGCTATTAAAATGTCGCTACTGAAGTAGCCAAAGCTACTAAAATGTCACCACTGAACTAGCCAAAGCTACTAAAATGATACCACTAGAATAGCCAAAACTACTACAATGTCACCACTGAAGTAGCCAAAGCTACTGAAATGATTCCACTGGAGTAGCCAAAGCTACTAAAATGTCACCACTGAAGTAGCCAAAGCTACTGAAGTAGCCAAAGCTACTAAAATGTCACCACTGAAGTAGCCAAAGCTATTGAAGTAGTCAAAGCTATTGAAGTAGCCAAAGCTACTAAAATGACACCATTGAAGTAGCCAAAGCTATTAAAACGACACAATTTCAGCACAAAGTTCTATAAGCACATGTGCTGTTTTCTGTCTTTTCAACACAAACTCTTTCAGCATCTTCCATTTTTATAGCACTTGGGACCAGCTGCAGTTGGGGATTCAGGGAAACTTCACGATGTCCCAGATGACTTGCTCATTTTGATGAAATGGGCAAAAGTCATGCAGGGCTCATGCACCACCAATGCTTACAAACCACCCGTGTGCATCCCAGAAGGATCCATGTGGATCCCAGAAGGAAAAACCATAGAGTGATCAAGGTTGGCAGAGACCTTTAAAATCATGAAGTCCAACCTGTTCCTCCACTGTAACCCCTAAACCGTATCATAGAATTTTAGGGGCTGGAATGGATCTTACAGATCATCCAGCCCCAACCCCTGCCCTGGGCAGGGACCCCTCACACCAGAGCAGGTTGCTCAAGGCTCATCCATCCTGGCTGTGAACACTGCCAGGGTTGGGGCAGCCACAGCCTCCCTGGGCAACCTGGGACAG